TTGTGTTATTTAAGCAAAGTTTTACAAGAATTTCGTATATTTCTTATTACTAACCAAAAGAATAATTTATGGAAATTAATTATTTTTATTTTACAAATAATTTGATAATAAAAGTGGTGGTTATTTGTTGCTTATGAACCATACAATTACATACCTTATAATATATTATATCAACATAACTGTATATTTCCTTATATTTTTAGCAAATATGCCTTTTATTGAAAAAAGACTTTGAAAATTAAAAATAAGTTATTATTTTGCTATTTTGATAATTTTTATTGATTTGTAATTAATTACCGGCATTTTCCCAATATTTATAAATACTTGGGAAATACGATATATTACAAGAAAAATATAATATTGATATTACTCAAACTTGTATTATTCAAATTATTTACTATTGATACTAATTATATTTTAAATGCTAGAAAATCCTCGTTACGTAAGATTTACGTGCGAATTAATTTCTCGACATTTATTTAAAAGTAAAAATTATAAATTATTGTAAAAAACATTCAAAGTATTGTAATTCAATCGATAATAACGAGAGATAAAAAAGAAACTACAGTCCAGATTGGTTATAATATACACATGAAATTTTCAAAAAGTGGGGATTATAATGAAATGTTGATTATAATGAACGTGTATTCACTCCATGTATAAGCTATTGTTGACTCTGGTTATAACATTCTAATTATATCTTAAAAACAGTTTATTTTGAGTTTTATTCAACATTTTGTTTGATTTGTCAAATTAGTAAAGATTTTTAACTAATTTTTAATATTTTTCATCAATTCTTATAGTTAATTAAAAGTGGGGACACTATTGAAGTATATTTTGTATTGCTTTCAATGTGAAAGTGTTTGATATATTGAGGGATTATAACGAAGTGGGGATTATAATAAAAACAAAAATGTTGATTATAACGATACTATTTTAACATTATATGAATGGCAACTGACTTATGATTTCAAAATATGGGGATTGTAATGAATTGTGGATACTATTGAGTGTATATTATATCCAGAACAGACTGTATTAATATCAATGAATGGTTAATACATTCTGAGCTCGCATTTAATTTATGCTAAATTTTAATTTTGTTAAAATGCAGTATTTTTTAGACGAGTTTTGAAAAATAACACTTTAATATTCCGATCATACGACACATACCTGTACACTACTATACAGATCATCTATCATATTTAAATATCTGGCAACTAACTACAATCTATGAATAATGTCAAACAATTCATAATAATTACTAATTATTATTAATTACTATCTATTACATCTAATATCTGTTTAATTAAGCCATCAATTTGTTTAAAATGTTAAATTCAATAAGATTTTATTGGGATGTCTACAACAAAAAGTATCACTTAATCATTAAGTCTTAATGGCATCACAAATATGTTGCCAACAAATCATATTATATAATAGCCATTATGTGAGACATTAGCGTTGGTGTTGTCGTGTCGTAAGGGGTAGTCCTCGACATAAAGTGAAGGTCAAGAATCGCTATAGAATTTAAGGAATGATTGAGTTATTGGTAAACGACATGTTTGTGGGTCAAAGGGGACACTCATGTCGTTATTCAAGTACGTGTGCATACAAATAGTGCATTCACTAAAATTTGGTAAAACATGTTTAACATAGAGCTAATTCTACACATAAACCTCTTGTATGTGAGGCCACTAATGTATAATAGGGTTAAATACACATTACTGCAGATCCTAGAGTTTCCAATCAATATGATCTGGTTTCCAATCCAAAAATAACCAAGCTCACAACCACTTTTAGATTATGCATCAAACAACAGATGCTATATTATTAGCCTCCAATAAATTAATTTTAAATGATTGTAAAATTTTCAAAAATATTTTTAAAAATTTTATTAAGTGTCCAAATAATAGAATTTAATGTACTTTTATATGAGAATAAAATATTTGGTCATAAAGATTAGAAAATGTGATTCTTTGGAGAAGTCTAGCTGCTAGTCTAGTCTAGAGTCTAGCATTCACTGCGATATCAAAAATTAAATATTCAGATCAACACTTTTAAAAAGTTTAATAAAGTAAATTAATCACCATGGTCAATATTCTAAATTAGAATAAATTCAATTAGAAATTATTTCTATTACCAGATTAGAATTTCTAATCAAAAATAATTCACTATCATCAATTCGAATTGATGATACTTTGCAAAACTTTTTCTAGTCATGTCACAAAATATTCGTAAAACTTCACCTAACCATAATCAGTTATATTTTATTTACTCTGGTATATCTTTGTTATTGATTTGACAAAAATTTGAATTATAAAACATGCAATTTTGCAATTTAATTAGTTTGGAAAGTTTATTTCATTGCATCAAAATTACTAACACATTCAAAGCAAAACTTATCGTTTCTGTTACAATTCAATTGATATTAATTAAGCTAAACGTCAATTAAAAATTAAATATATTTAAACTAGCTAAACTATTATAGTCATTAAACTGGATTTAAAAAGTTAGCACAAACTCACTAACCTTTATAGCGATGACAGACAGTGAGATTCAACTAATGGATCAGTTGTGGTGATGAGTAGAGGACCAGTATATGTATGGCAGG